CGCTGCTGGAGACGCAGTGGCCCGACTGGGCCGCAGATCACAGTTTATGGCCACCCCGAGCTGAGAGCCCGCGCCTCGGCTCCGTCTCTGCAGCCGGCTTCCCCGCTCCGATACCTGGGAGCTCTGCCGCACTCAGGCACCCCCGGTCTCTCTGTGACCCCAAGGGTCCTGAGACCACACTGTCCCGGGAGGGTTCCACCCCCCACTTAGCCACTGGAGCGACGTCCCTCAGCGGAGCCGACTTCTAAAAGGTCCGATTTTGTGCTCCGCGGCTCTAGCACTTGCCAGAAGCGGCCGACGGAGGCCCCCTCCCCCGCCGTCTATCCTCCCGAATATCGCCTCGGATTCACTTCTCCGCACGCCCTACCTTCCAGTGAGTGGTCGCTTCTCTGTTCAGAGAGTTGCTGCTACTCTCCTGTTCGATCTCCTGTTGAGTTCGTAGGTGTTCAGAATGGTTTGATCCCTATTCAGCTGAATTCCTGAGACCAGACGAAATCCAGGACTCCTACTCCTCCGCCATCTTGCTCCGCCCCCCAAAGGCCAAGTTCTTTATTGCACACTGTCTATATCCAGAATCTTATTATTTCAACATGTGATCAATATAAAAATGACAAATGAGATAGTTTTTTTTTGTTTTTTGTTTTGTTTTTTTTTGCATGAAGTCTTCAAAATCTAGTGTACTTTTGCACTGAGGACACATCTCCTTTCAGACCAGCCCTGGTGTGGCTGGAGGCTGCCGCATTGGTCAGCCCAGCTCTGCACATACAAGTGGGGGATGACCTCTTTCAAGATTGCTCAGACACGTGCTCACACAGCATCAGGCCGTGAGAGACATCTTAAAAGAAATGTCCCCAGAAGGGGTACTGTGTCATCCCCGGGTTCCTTTCAGCCCTCTCAGAAAGCCGGGCACTACTCTGGAGGCTGTTTATGATCCCCTACCTATCTCTGGCTGATGACACAAATTAGTTTGATTGGATTTCAATAAGGATGGCTTTATGTTGTCTGTTTGAATTTGAAATGCCGTTGTTTGGGCTTGCCGTTATTTTTTTAGTGTTGTTTATATCAACCTTAATGTGATGTCGTACCTATTTTGTGAAGGGTGCAGTCCCGGTGGTTCTTCACCAGGTCTGCGTGCTGCATCGTTAATATTTATCACACAAGTTCAACACTGGTCGTGTTTTGGGAAAACACTGCTCTGTTGGTTTGTGAAATTATAACCTTGATTTGGCATTTTTAGGAATTTGATTCACTACCCACTGCTAACTTTGATGTATGCCTTATGGAAATGTAAAGCTGGTCTATACGGAGTGTTGGTTTCTTATGATGGTACGTAACAGACATTCAGCATGCAAATCTGTGTTAGAAGTTAAGGTTTCTTTCTCTGAATTCACCAGACTTTCATCAGAAAATTTGACTATTTAACAAGGAAGGAAAAAGAAAAGTAAAGCAAGTTAGGTATGTGTCGTAACGGAAGGCTTTTCTCTCCACAGAAGCAAAGATCTTGGGTTTACTAGGTCTCCATTGGGTTCAAACCCCCATAGGCCTCCAGAAAATTCAACTGCACTGTCGACCAGCTTTTTCCAAGAAGTACTCTGCTAACAGGACTTTCCCCAAATTCAAATATTTATTTATGAGCTAGCTGGTTTTTTAAACATCTTGAGTTTGAGTAAATGTTGCTTGAAGAGGTTATCAAATTCGAGAAAGCACGAGGATATAAGCAGAATGGCCCATCTGTACTCTTTGCCGAGGTTTGCGCTGAGCTAAGCCTCCTGGTGTCATTACTTTTTGGAGATTTTATTTATTTATTTATGTTGCATAGTTTGGAGACGGTGCCTCCCCACCTTCTGGGGAACCAGTGTTGTGCCTCACCTCGGCACCCGTTAAAGAAAAATAACTTTCTTGAAGCAGTTTTGTGTGAGGCCATAGTGGACTTTTACTTTCAGTGTGTGCATGTGCTCATCAATATTCTTTTGGAAATTAAAATGCAGAAAGCAAGACAGATCTCACGGGCTATCACATGGTGAGCTCCCAGAGCCGACGCAGGTGTTAGCGCCTGCCTCTCGCAATGAGCTGCGCGTCCACTGATCGCTGAACTCTGTGTACCGAGCGCATGTTGTCCTGTGAACGCCTTACCCCTTCCTTCTGCATGGCCCGTTGCCCTGTACCTGACGATCTCTGAAAATCAGGCTGGCAGCAGCAGGAACCCACAGACCACAGCTTTGTTATGGTTTCCCCCGAACTTTGGAAACCTAAAACCCTGCATCTCAGGGGGTTCATCCTTAGATGCCCTCTTTGTCTGCGGCCCTCCCCGCAAATACTCTGTAGGAGAAACTCCAGGGACTGATCGTACCCTAGGAAGCTAATCATTTTTAATAACTTCTGTTAAGATTGGCTTTCCTCCGAGAGTTCTTGATGGAACTGGAAATGTTCTTTGCATTTTTCTTCCCCAAATGAGATCCCTGGGAATTGAAAAGTTGTAGTGTCATTCTAAGGATGAAAAACTCATCAGTTCCAGAGCCCAGACCCCCGCCCCCCTTCATGAGCTCATGACCTGGGGGCTCAGACATCTGGGATGATCAGAATTGCTTCGAATTCATCAAATCACCAAGGCACAGAACGGCGGGGGGAGCTTTTGAATAACATCAATAATCCCCAGTTATTTACTCCATAGATGTAACTGTTTCTTAAAAAAAAAAAAAAGCCTCCCTCCGGTTTTCCTCCTGGCATTCCTATTTCTTGCATTGCCAGCCAGCTTTGGATTCCACAGGACCGGATCCCGATCCAGTCTTCGGAGACACTCCTCATCCCATTCATGTGTTTTTCTTTTCTCTTTTATTTTCTTTCCGTGCTTAAAAACCAACTTCTAAGGGAAGAGGGTGGAGGGAGAAGGAAGAGAACCACATCCCCTGAAAAGACCCCAATTCCGGTGCGTTTTTTTGACATAGGTATATTTTGAGAGCTTTCCACCTTCGAGCCATGATTGTTCTAAAGCAATTTGTAGCTCTTTTAAAAATGTCTTTTAACAAAGCCACTGTCAGAAACTGCATTGTTATTTCAAAATAAAAATTAATATTTGTCACCCACACACCCTGCGATTGTATGTATATTTCAAAAATAACGTTTACTGTGGTTTCTACTTATGGAGAGCTGAATTTCAGAAGGTTATGTAAATTTTAAAAATGGGGTATCTATTTGTTGTTGCTCTCTGTTACTCCATTATAAAAAGGCATGAATTAGCGTTTGGGTCTGTTAGAAGGTCATGTGTATTTATAAGTATCTATCCAACAGGACACTGGCTTTTTATATCTAGTAATGGGCCAAATTTAGTAATGGTTTCTCATAGACACCATGGAGCATACTCCCTCCCCACCCCCCTACACACACACACACACACACACACACAGAGCCTTTTTCATTTTCTGCATCAATGAGCTAATCTTGCAAGGGAAGTGATGTACAAGAATTTTGACTCTTCTATTATTTCAAGGCAAGAGAAACAACAATAAATATTGAGCAAAGAAAGCTAATTTGTATTTAGAGCATTTTAATATAGATAATGCTTTTCAAAATCAATACAAGCCAGTTGGCTTTTGCCAGATTTCTTTTATTATAAAGATTAAAAATAAACCAGTCCAGATATTTTTTATATTGTAACTATTTTCTTGACTTACAAGGATAAGATCTTAAAATATCATTCATAACGTTTTAAATGTCCATATAGGACTTGATATTTATTTTCTTATGGTTTGAGCAGATTTAAGAGAAATAGTGCTCAAAGATATGTAAAGACCAGCAGATAAATCCAGAAATTTCTACATAGAGTCCATTCATTCTGCTTATGGAGTTGGGATGCCAGTTTAATTATTTTTGTTTGTTTCAGAAGGAATTTTCTTGAAGGGAGCACTGTGGGTTTATGCATTTCTAATTGCCGATGGAGCATATCTCTAATGGAAACAGAGAGGCAAAGGCAAAAGCCCTATTTTGCCTTCCCTTAATTAATCAAATCTATGTAGAATTATATTGAATCTGTTTTTGTCAAACGCTGGTATTCCCTTTAAAGTTTAAATACCAGGCTGACATGTTTTTGCCAGTGTGTTAGCATCCCTTTCTCAGGGCTGCTTGAAGAAGCAGCAGGCCTAACCTCCTCTGCGCACCAATAAAAGTCTCTTCAGCTTTCCAGTGAAATTATAATTACACAAAAGGAGTAGGTTAGGGCTCTGGACTTCAGTTTCTAATTTCAAATTGTTGCTATCAGCCATTTTTTCCATTAAAATTAACATTTTTTTCACTAGTAAGGAGGAGAATTTTTTAAACATTTTTTTTTAAGGCTTACTATTTTAAGGGCATTTTAAAAGGGGGCGCATCCCCGCTGCGTGGCGAGCTGAGGAGGGTGGTCCAGGCGTTAGAGGTCTCAGATGCAGAACGTAACAGGAAGGACAGAAACAAAGCAAACGGAGTCCTGTCTGTGTAGGGAGTCGCAGCCCTCTGCCCTGAACATGGCGGGATGACGCACCTCCCGGCCCCTTCCCTCTCCTCCCAGCCTCCCTCCCCCTCCCCATGTCTTCCCCACGTTTTGGGGGCTGGGTAGTGTACTCCTTCCATTCAAGGACTTGTGTCCCCAAACCAGGGTTCCCGAACGCCTGCCTCCAGCTTCCACACACGACAGGCTCCCCACGGGCTCTGCCATCGGCATGTTCACTGTCTGAGCTTCCGTAACTTCCTACTAATGTAGTAGGCATACAGTCATCGTCATGCATAACGCCTCATCTAAGGGAGCTCCTCTTTTGTGCTTACCTTGAAGATGCCGTGTTTTTAAGGGGCTACCCCCCAATAAAAGGGAAGGAACTCTCTGCTCTTAGAAAGTAACTAGTGTATGAACAGCTGTGTGGATGATGCTTTGTGACGTGTTCCAAAGCGATGGTCTTATGGCCTTATTTCTAAAAAGCAGTTGTAATGGACTATCCAGTTTACTCTTTCCCTTTCTCCTTTCTTTTCAAAAGCCGCATGCCAGGGGTAAGATCTACGTCCAGAGTCAAGGTAAGAATTTTAAAATTTACGTATTCTTAAAAGATGAATCTTTTTAGAGACATGTACTGACGTGTTTGTGGATGAAATAATATGGTGCCTTAGATTTACCTATTAATAATTAGTAGAATGGATGTGCCTTTTATTTCCTAATGTGAAGATAAAGGACAAATACAACAACATTATAAAAGAACAATTTAAAATGCAGGTCCTTTAACAATTTCGACCAGTAGAAGGACAATGTGCTCTCTCAGGGGTATGTTTACAAAAGGAGAAAGCTGAGCTTCTTGGTTTTAGTTGAACTGAGGGCGAAAAGGAGCCCTTCTGCTCCAACCTCACCCCTTCCTGCCGTCAGGCAGGCAGTCCCTCCCTGACGGTGGCCTCCACAGCCTTTTGGGAAACACTCAGCATCTGAACGCAGTGAGGGAACCACTGTATTCTTGTTTAAACAATAGGAATCATGGGAAGAAGCCGTTGCAAAGTGGAGCACGTAACCCACTGCAAGCTCGGGTCAGCGCAGGTGCCGAAGCCCAGAGGGGCACAGACCCCCGAGTCCTGCCTCAGCTGCACCGTGCATTATCACGGGTATGCATTCTCCAGTGCTTTCAGTGATATTTTTAGCAGAAGAATCACTTACCAAATAAGCCCTTTCTTGGAACACCCATTTTAAAAAAGATGCACCGAGTCTGTATATATAAAAGGTGTCTCTAAGTGTCAGGGCAGGTGCGGGCCTGTCTTGGCCGGATCTATAGTGGAGGAACACGCGGGCACACCAGGCAAACACAGGCTCACACGCAGCCTCTACCACCTACACCCTGAGTGGCCGTGAACACCATGTAACCTGTGTGAACCTCAGTTTTCAGCTGGATAAACTGGGGGAGTCAGTGTGCCTAGCAGGGCTTTAAGGGGTCCCAGGAGTGTGTGGTCTGCACCCCCCTAGGGTCTGTGCCCAGGGCGGACGTGCAGCGCACACTTGCTAAGTAGTATGAAAGTGAGCATCTGTGTCGTTCGGTGGAGAGGGTGATCTTTTCAAAGGGACATTGCAGAGAGGCTTACATGACTTAATTTACGTGGCCTAAAACCTCACGGATGTTTCCTGTTATCAGGATAAGCTGTTAAATGATGCCTTGAATTTCCTACATCTTAAATGTTCAGTTCAGAGAATTTTAAACAAATCTGTTGGAGGAGGTACCACAGATAGCAGGCAATCATGTGTGATGTGGAGAGGACCGGGATTAGGAATTTTAAACAGAGATGCAATTCATACATGGGGCTGCGATGTAAAGCTGTTGCTTGCAGGCCTTTGTTAGAGACTCATGTTTCCTCCACCTGGAGGCTGTCCCACCCCGCGACGGATGGCGAGGTCCAAGGGGTTACCTTTCCTCACTGGGGACCCATGGGCTCGCTTTGAGCCTCCCGTGCAGGAGGGATGAACAGGTGTTCACAAGGCGCTCAGAACTCTGAGTTCTTTGTAAGAACCAAGTAGGAGACCATTATCTGAATGTCGACACAAGCTAGCTGGCTGCATCTCATCAACGTGGACTCTCTCTCTCTCTTTCCTTCGACGCAGGAGTTGTGACAGTACCAAACGCTGCCTTCAACTGGAACACCTTCCTTCACCGTTCAGGTGAGAGATGGGTCTTCTCACAAGGTTTTGACCAGGGCTCATCCTGTCCAGTGGTGTCAGGTACATGGGGTGCTCACGTGGCTTTGGAAGGGAGGTTCTCCAACGGAACAAGGGGAGCGAGGATCGGGAACTGCGGTCAGGACACGCCTGACTTCTCTCTGTTCCTGAGTGTCCTCTTCTTTGGGAGAATGGGACGAAGAGCGGGTCTGGAGGAGGACTTTTAACCCATTCTGGGTCCAACTCGTCTGTGAGGTACGTGTATCCATATGTGAATAATTTCTCCTGTGTCCTCTGCTTCACCTTTCCATTTTCTTCTAGTTTATCCATTTTTCGTTAGTGGTCAGCACTGTCTGAGCCCTGATCAAGAAACCTTTGCCTGCTCAAAGTTCACAAAAATATTTTCCATTTCTTTTCCTCCAGAAGTTTTAGTGTTTTCGCTCTTTCCTTCAGATTATAACCCATCTGAAATTAATTTTTGCCTGTGATATGAGATAGGGATCAAAATCCCTTTCTTTCCGAACCTTGTGCTAGTATCATTCCCTGAAACCTGCTGCAGGTTTATAGAATGTCAAGAAATCAGGTGGTGTGAGTCCACAACTCTGCTTCACAATTGTTTCAGCTAATCTGGGTTTTTTGCATATCCGTATACATTTCCACTCACCTTGTCAATCTCTAATAAAATCCCATGCGTTGATCTATAGATTGATTTAGGGAGAATGGATACCTTAAAATTAATTTGTCTTAAGGTCCATGAACATGATCTGTCCACTTTTTTAAGTGTCATTTACCTTCCTAATAATTTTGACAGGTCCTTATGGTTTTTTAAAAAAGAACATTATTGAGGCGCCTGGGTGTCTCAGTCTGTTAAGCATCTGTCTTTGGCTCAGGTCATGATCTCAGGGTCCTGGGATCGAGTCCCGCATCGGGCTCCTTGCTCAGTGGGGAGCCTGCTTCTCCCTCTCCCTCTGCTGCTCCCCCTGCCTGTGCTCTCTCTGTGTGTCAAACAAATAAGATCTTTTAAAAAAGAAAAATGATTCTCAAGGATTTTATTAGTTTTGATGCTACTCAAGAGGTTTTTTAAATTTTATTTTTGAATTGTTTGTTGCTAGTATACAAAAGTAATTGATTTTTGACATTATATCCTGAAATCTTATAAACTTATTTAATTCTAATTACAGCATGAGTTTCAATTCCTTTGTAGTATTATTTTGAGTTCTACAAACTTATTTGACCAATCCCTTTTTAAACATTTTGATATACAGTGATGGAGGTGCTAGGATTTCAATCTTCATACATTTGCCCAATTGTTTTCTTTGGAACACCTAAAACCAGAACCTCTGGGTTAGATGATGCACGTAATCAGAGCTTTTGTGCGTCACGCGTAATGTCTCCTGGAAAGGTAGCATCAGTGAGCATGTCCATCAGCGATGCTATGCCATTTTCCCTACACACAGTGTGGCCAACAGAATCTAGCCTTCGTATTTTCCATATATGGTATGATCTAAGTGCAGTCACGACTTTTAAACAAAATTTTGTTGTATAATATCTTTAAATATAGGGAGTTTTTTTGTCCACCCATGAGGCCCATAAGTGTATGCTCTGGGGACTGTCATTGCCCTACAGGCCGACCAACCCAGTAATTCTGTGGAAGGTGTGGGAGCAGCTAACATTGACTCAACAAATGCAATGTAAAGTTTAAGAACTCATCTGTTTTAACCTGTACCGCTTCTCGCAAAAGTTGACGGTGCAAGGGTGCTGTAGGGGTACAAGGGGGGTCTGACGTTACAAGCCTGACGTAAACTTCAGAGAGGAGCCGAAAATGCAAACCACAGGCCCCGTCCGAGCAAACATGCAGACCCTCCGAGCCTGTCTTCTCTCAGACAAGAAACCCCCACCGCCTACTGTATGTCAGCATTAGGTTCCCTTGGAAAAAGAAAATTTCCAAGCTTTTTATTAGAAACCATTTTCCAAGTGCATCCATCAGCCTCGAGGCCAGCAGCAGGGCTGCTCCCCACGTCACAGGAACCCCCGCCATCCCACTGCTCTGTCGCGCCAGGAAGTGCGGGCCATTATTCAGAACCAGCCAGCCTGCTGTAAATCGCCTGTTGGGAGGTTATTTCAGCTTCTGTATATATCACGGGATGCCGCTGCGGTTGTGACCAACAGTCATCATTTCCAAAAGGAGAGGGATTTTTCATCAAGCCTGTAGTCTCTGGTGGATTGTTTCATTGGTCTTACTATGGAGTGATTAACGGAACAGCTGAGGGATGGGCAAGACTCCTCAGACCCGCCGGGCGGCAGTTCCAACTTCACGTGCAGTTAGAAGCCGTGACCGTGGCCGGGACCCGCGGCAGAGGCAGGCGCGGTGGTGTCACGGTCACGGGCCCTGCTGGATCCTGGCGTCTGGTGGAGGCAGAATTAATTGGCGTCTCTGGGTTTTATGACCAGGCGTCTGTTCTCATGTGCGGGGCCGTTCATCTTTGTCGTCTTTCAGACTCCAGAGATGGACTGTCTTCCCCACCCACCCTCGATCTCAGTCTGGCCTCCAGGGCCGTGATTGTGATTTGTCACTTGCACTTTGAGCTTCAGACAGTGAAAACAGAAGATCCGGTGAATTCGACGCAGACTACTAGTGATCAGATACTCACCCCCTGAATTCTTATGAACTGCTAACCTTGCAATCCCGGGGAGTGGGTGGGGAAGGGCTCATTTAACAGTGTGCATCAGTCCCCAAGGGCTACCGTCTGCTTCTTGGGTCTCCGGTGTGGGTTTTATGATGCATCCTCCTTTACAGTGTGTTGTAGGTCCTTCTGAGAATATCCAGTTTCCTTTCTAAGCCCCAGCTAACAAACTACTAAATCTTTGTAGTTTAAAACATCGAACGATGTTTATGCTAACCAGATTTCATGTTCCAACGAACCAGCTAGGGAAAAATAAAGAACAAAGTAGATTAAAGGCACTAAGTGGGATCGTTATAATTTTTCACGTGATATTTACATAGTTATTCTGATCAGAAGATACATGTAGGCATCAAGTCAGTTACCTTGGAGTTTTTCTGTGCATTTCCATGTCCAACTTGCATGTTGCTACGGTTCAATGATGCGTGATTTTTGCTTTTAAATGCCAATAACTGGGGCACCTGGGTGGCTCAGATGGCTAAGCAGCTGCCTTTGGCTCAGGTTGTGATCCCAGCGTCCTGGGATCGAGTCCCAAATCAGGCTCCTTGCTCAGCGGGAGCCTACTTCTCCCTCCGTCTCCTCCCCCTGCTTGTGCTCTCTCTCTCTTAATAAATAAATAAAATATTTAAAAATAAATAAATAAATGCCAATAACCGATGCATCTAAAACAGCGATTCTTTGTAAGCCACCAAACCCAAAAACTATGAATGCTTAAATTTGACCATACCTTCCTGATTGTCTGTTTTGTTTGTATTTCTATTGTTAACGTGTCTATTTAATGTTCTTTGCTCTCCTTCTGTAAACTGTATTTATATTTCTACGTGGAGACTCGAATATGCCAAGCTCGGATGATAGTATTTTTCCTCCTTGGCGGTGCCTAGGGAAATCCTTTTGTTTTTCATGTGGAAAATTCATGTTACCAGATCCCTTGATATTTTCACAGCCCCCAAATCAGATTTTCTGGCTAAAATTCACTGCGTCTAATGCGCTCAACTGAAGTCCTTGGATTCTTTTCTCCTTATAATAACCCATGGAAAAGAAATAAATGAACAGAGCAGCTAGAACAGAAGACGGGCGAGCAAGTGGCTTCGTGCGGGTCCGGTTAGTGCCGTGGAGCCCGCTGATGAGTCGGGCAGAGGGCTGGGCAGCGCGGCGGGCGCTCAGCCCGTGGGGACCAATCCCGCGCCAGCCCGCGAGAGCGGCTCACTCTGTTTTGAAGATAAAAATACCATTCTCCAGGAAGTGGCAATCGAAAGGACAGATGTGAATCCGTGCCTTTGTGAGGGATGAGTTCAGACTCTGACGCGTGTTCAAGCTGGATGTTCACAAACAACGGGAAGAAAAGTAAGTTTGGAGCCAAAAGGAAGAAATGAAACCCACTTTGAAATTAAAGAGTGGCCACCATCCGTGCCCCCAGCCGCGGCCGGGCACGTAGGTGGAGTGGGGGCTTCCACGTGCCAGGCTGCGGCACGTGCTTTCTCAATCATGACTTCCCAGTCCTTGTCTCTAGACAACAATACTGCTGTGGGTGAGAGGCGCACAGAAGTTACTCAAACCCAAACGCTGTCTCTGCGTTTTGTTTTTTAAATCTTGTAAATCCTAAAATAAGGCAAAGCATTTAGTCCTTTGTGCTGCCGTGGGCTAATTTCATTTCCTAAGTTCTCATGACATTTAATCTCCAACCAGGAAGAAGATGAGGTCAAAGACAAAAGAACAGAAGGTTAGCTCTGTCCCCCTCCAGGGTCTGGTGAGTCAGGGCTCTCAAAATCAGGGGGTGAGTTGGGGACCAGCACTTTCATTTTTTTATTTTTAAAATTTTTTTAAGGAGGCTCCACGCTTAGTGTGGGGGCCGATGCGGGGCTTGAACTCACAACCCTGAGGTCAAAACCTGAGCTGAGATCAAGAGTCAGATGCTTGGGGCGACTGGGTGGCTCAGTCGTTAAGCGTCTGCCTTCGGCTCAGGTCATGATCCCAGGGTCCTGGGATCGAGCCCCTCATCGGGCTCCCTGCTCGGTGGGAAGCCTGCTTCTCCCTCTCCCACTCCCCCTGCTTGTGTTCCCTCTCTCGCTGTGTCTCTCTCTGTCAAATAAATAAAATCTTAAAAAAAAAAAAAAGCGTCAGATGCTAAACTGATTGAGCCACCCAGGTACCCCAGGAACCAGCACTTTAAAAAACTGAAATGAGATAGAAAACATCAGAGTTCCTCGTGTGTAATGAGGCTAACTTGGGGGGTTGCTGCGTGAGTACGTAAAAACACATATATCTCGTGTCCAAGGTTTCAGTACCGTACGTGTACCTCACCGTGAGTCACAGAATGCTGTACGTTGTGGGTTTCCTGTTTCTCCAGGCTGGCTTCCTGGGGGCCACGGGGTAGGGTTAGGTGGAGGCTCACTTACCCAGCATCACCGGGGCAGAAGGCCCACGGGTGTCCCAAACCACGCATCACAGCGTGGGGACAGAATAGGTTTCCAACATCTGTGCCTGTCACACAGAAGCAAATGGAGTCTCTCTACCAAGACAGCACATCGGTTCCTAAAATAGTGCTCGCTTTGGCTACCATCTCTGTGTGTGTGTTCTGCTATTGTACCTTTTTTTTCAATCCATCACGACAGGTTTCCTGATCTCCCCTTTTGGGTACATTCGTGTGTCCCCTTCTACCTTCCTTCTTCTGCTCTTCTTCTTACGTACTTGAGCAGATGTCCCGGGGTCGTCGTGATGGCGGCGTCCGTGATGGTGGGCCCTACCAGGGGCTCACATGTGCAGACACAGCACGTCAGCTCCTCCCTCACCGGCAGTTCTCGTGCACGTGCGCCCTGTGCCCGGGCTCAGGCTTCCTCCGGTAGTTAAGAGGGCGTCCCCTGGCTTTCTCCTTGTCCTTCTGTTATCTTTCCGTTGTCACTGAGAACTATTTTTCGTGAAGGCACTTTTAATTTTTGTCCTCATCAGACACTCACTCTCTGGCTTCAGCTTCACGCATGGTTCTTGTCTCGGAAGGAGGGATTTATCTGTCTCACACCTGACCTTCCTGTTCCTTAAAGGAATTCTTCAACATTATCATTCATTCAAGGGAATAGCTTGTCTCCCGGCCTCAGATTCCTCTGATCTGGGATTCGAATTCTGCACGTAGCTTCTAGCTTAGACTTTTGGTCAAAGAGTAAGTTTTGTATTCCTAGGGTTAGTCCCGGGGTACTCAGAACAGTGGGGCGATGCTTGACAGACATGCCGCACCTCAGCGAAACTGTCAGTGGTTACTGCAGAGACCGTGGGGCATTTTGAGGGCCCTTCTCAGGGGGTCGCCCCAGCCTTAACATGTGAGCAGACGCTGTCTCAGACCTGGTCGCGCGTGGTCAGTGCGCAGCGTGTGTGGTCTCGTGGACGTGACATCAGTGTGTCCCCTCGGTCACTCTGATGACCCTGCTGTGCAAGGCTCACAGAAGCACCGAGAAACTGACAGCTTCTGCAGTAAGGAATGGGTGAAGTAACATGCGTGAAGGAAAACCTCACCTGCATGAGGTCAGATTTTATCCCCAATTGCATGCGTCTGGAAACGATGAAGTCTTAGATTAGCTTGTGTTAATTATACAGATAATTTCTATCGAATCACTTGCCTGTTGCTGCGCATCAAGCCCCCTCAACGTAAAGGGGCTTAAAAGAGCCCCCAGTTTCCGGTGACCGTGTGGGCTGGCAGCTGGGCCCGGGCCGGGGGGCAGCTCCCGCGGGCCTCACCTGTCTGCTACTGGGTCCGCGCTCCCTTCGCGTGGGCCTAGGCCTGCAACTCCTGTGTGGCCTCCTCCGGCGGGGGCGGCCGGGCCTCTCCCTGCAGAGCCTCGTCCTCAAGGAGGCAGCCGGCCTGGTGCTCTGGGCGGTGGTGCTCTGGGGGGCGACAGACAGCGACACGGGGCTTCCCACGGCCGGGACTCGGAAGTCACTCGCTGTCCTTCCACTGGGCTCTGTTGGCCGACACTAACCACCAGGCCGGCCTGGAGCCGAGGGGCCAAGAAGCTGTTCCACCTCTCACTGAGGGGAGCCACTGTGTGACCTAAACCCTTTATTTCACGTACCCGTGGGCACGTCCGCACTCAGTGTGTGCACCTCAGTGAACACATGCGGACTCGGGAATACCTTACTACATAAAGCGCCCCTCTACTTGCAGGAAGAAAATCTCTTCTAACCAGAATTGTACCCAAATATTTTCCAGGGCCCGTGGCTCACATTTCCGTAAGAACTGCCCCTTCCTCACTGTACAGTCCAGTTACTGGGCTAAACTCAGCTCAGGTTCACCCACCGGGAGGAGCAGTCCATTCGCGCAGTGAATTGTGTGAAGGTTGCGGGGAGGCAGGGGCAGAGGTCGGAGCCCTGTGGCTCACACCTGACCTTCCTGTCTCGGGGTCTTTGCTCCCCTGGTATCCAGCTGCCTCCTCTCCACTGAAAATACCTGAACTCTTCTCTTGCAGGGATTAACCAAAATGCTGATAATTTACACATCTTTCTCCTGGTGTGTGGACTTAGACAAGTTAAGGACCCTCTTTACTTGGTGGACGCGTTCTCAGGTACATTGTGTTTACAGAATTCTGTTTGGGGACTGCTCTCAGCGTTCCTCTCTGTAGGACTTTCAGTTTTGCCGTCTCCATCTTTCCACATGAGCAGAACTGATTCTAGGTGGTTCCTCTGGAAACAACCAGAAAAATAGGAGCGCTGGGTAGTGACCTCATTCACATCTACTTTCCTGTGCCCTCGGCGTCTCAGGAAATCACAAAAACAGTGAATAATTGTAAGAATAACATAATCTTATCTGGAAACGTTTTACACACGTCAGTTTGTAGGACACGTTTCGAGATTTGCTGTGTTGCTTGAGTTACCCCAAAGTCCATATTGGCTTGTGGAGCCATTGCTTCTCGTCGTCCAGTACGGGAGAGATCTGGGTAACGCATAACATTCTAGAAAAAGCATTTTACTTATAAGCATACGATGTCCAATGTTTACATTTCAAATACATAGAATTTGTTATGAATGAGAACAAAATGATATGAAATAATTTATATTAGCATGTAATTAACATTAAACTTAATTATGTTTCCATCTGTGGCATAAAACCAGTAAAATTTTTTTTCTCTTTTTCTTCCCAAGAATGGCATCAAGAAGAGCCTAATGTTTACATGGTGATCGTGGGTCCTGAAGTAAGTTGATGCGCCGCAAACTTTACTCTCATTTCTTTCTTCATCTTTATACTTTTTATGTATTTTCTAAAATTAGTTGACATTCCTCTTCTAACCAAACTATTTTTTTCCTGTTTAAGTAACTGAAGTCTGCCTTTTTAAAAATGAAAACCAAGATTAAAGATGACGAGGCTGTGTAAATCTTTACAGCTAATTTATTGCTACAAAGGGTAGGTTTTTATGGAAATGCAGAGGAGTCACATCAGGAGAAAGTTCTGTGATGTGAATGTTAGTCTAAGTTGGTGCAGAAGGCATGCATTGTAGGTGGTCCACGTTATCTCTGAAGCTCCTTTAAACTGCACGGCAAACCAACACAGAGCTATTTCTTCAACCGAGCACCAGATCAGCTAGTTGACTTGCTTTTAGGAGCCAAGGGGTATGGGAAATAAGGGGTGTGGGAAATAAGGGGTGCGGGCAATAACTATCTATAAGCACAGGGAGATGCTCGTCCCCTACCAGTGGAAAGCCTGGAGACCCTGCGTCTCATTCTACCGGCCTCCAGGAGAGTCGCTGGTCCCCTCAGTGATGGGGGTCAAGCACGTGCAGCTCTGTCCCACACGCAGGCTGAGCACTCAGGACTCGGAGAATCAGGGTGGAGATGTCTCTTGAGAATGAACCTTGATTTACTCCAAGCAGTGTGGAAAATGAAGCAGGCTTTGTGTTTCCTGCAGGATGGGGTGGGACATCGCAGGAGCAACTCCCGTCCTCCGGGGGGTGTCTGTGCTGGGCGGCAGAGGGCACCTCCTGGGGAAACGCATCGCTCACTTCCTTGGTCCTGTTCGCCAAACCGGGATAGTGGAGCTTGCGACCTCGCCATGTCACCCACTTTATTCATCAGGGGTGCCCTTGAGAACTTGAGCCAGTGGATTCCCACACGACGAGGAGTCTTACCTGTTTTGCACGCACTCCTGTGAGTTTCCCAGCTCCCTGGGGACACGCACAGCACACAGTGGGGGACACACACTTGTCTCTGTACACTCTCAGATTTTGGAGACAATACGTTTACCTGGAAAAAAGCCACCTAACCTAATAAAACTATCAAGGGCTCGAATCTGCCACGTGGAAAATGTATCACCCCATAGACCATCCATATGTTCGGTTCAGCATGCACGTACACACACGTGCCCGCACACGCATATGCACACTACACGCACACTCACGCTCGGCACCAGTCTTCCGATGGCAACAAGACAGCCCCCCGGTGCCCTGCTCTATGTTAAGTCCCGTAGCGGCAGAGTTGTTTATGATGATGACGATTTTTAATTCTGTTCCCATCCTGCTGTCTGAAGGGCGTTACTGAAAGAAAAAGTTTGAGTTTGATGCTGAAATCCTTCCTGAGAGAGAGGGCCTCAGGCTTACAAAGAATTTAGTGATGTGGTTTCTTATTTCCATTTACATGACGATGTTCTGTTTATGGCGCGTGATGCTGGCTTTCCAACTATGAAAATTTTCTTTAAAAATAAATTGAATTGGCTTCAAAAAAGTATTAAGTAAGCAGCCATACAGATGGTACGCAGATACGAGATTATGAAAACGCACGCAAACGGCCAGAGTTTGGGAAACAGTTGTTACAAAGTGTTCGTGTCCGGGCACAAGAAACCCCAAAACGAAGTCTTGGTGGACAGAAACGTGCACCGGTGCCGCGCTGAAGACAACCCGCTTCCTCCGCCTGGCTCTGTGCTTCCATTTCTGTGTAAGGAAACCTGCCGGGAGGCTCGGGAACACACCGAAAGCAGGGAACGCGTGACTGCAACCCCTTCCCAGGGAATGGTGACCCGGGAGGCGCTGGTGCAATGGCCAGGGGGCGGGGCGGCTGGCCCAGGTGGCTGGCCCTGGATCCACCTGTGACCCGTCCTTCAGCCCGTCGCCAGCCGGGGAGGGTCCCCGGCCGCTGCTTGCTGAGGGCTTCTCCAGCCGTAGTCTCCAGGAGAGAGACGGCTGTTACTTTGTTGTTTCTACTGAACAATGAGGGCTGGTGCTCGTGTCCCAGAGGAAAGCAGGCTTTTCTACCACTTGCTATGGGAACACGTCACTTTCCTCTAACCTGCGCTTGCCTACTTTTGAAGGAAGATGCACCCCGCTGCGGACGTGCCCCCCTGGGTTCCACCTGCGGCTCCTCCAGTGCCAAGGGAGACAGCGTCTTCCACACCTCGGTCCGGTCTGGGTATTGTGGCGTCGCACCCTTCCCAGGCCTGAGGACAGAAGCCACGGCTTCGGGTCTGACCAGTTCATAGCTGTCTGGTCCCTTTGGGCGGCTGCAACGGAATCCCATGGATGGGCTGGCGGACCAGCACCAGAGATTGGTTTCTCCTGGTCCTGGACGCCGGGAGGCTCGGGATGGAGGTGCCGGGGAGGTCTCCTCCTGGCTCAAGGACACTCTCTGGGGTCATTTGTGAGACCTGGTCCCGTCATGTAAGACTGGTCCTGTTCCCGAGGCCTCCACCTTCCTGGCCCACTCGCCTCCCAAATCCTCACCTCTTGACACCATCGTCTTTGGGGGTTAGGATTTCAGGGTATGCATTTGGGACGTGGGGGACACAACATTGAGGCCACAGCAATATCCCTACCTCATAAAAGGTTTTTATCAAATCTAAGGGGAAAACAAAAAGCTGCCATCCAAACCATGATGTCGTCTCAGCAAACAGGATAATTTGAGCTTCCAAATAAGGCAGCATCGAATCCAGCGAGTCACAAACTCCTTCAGACAAGCTTTCTTCTTGATTCTGTGTGTCCCGGATGCATCTGGACACACATCTCAGATCCTCCACTAAGTCGAACAGGCTGGTGTCTAAGGTTTGCTTGTTTGCTTCCTAACCGTAACCCGGGGTCTGCTGCTGAGTGTCCACCAGCCGGTGCTCATGGGGAGCAGGGCAGGGGAGCCCTGTTTTCTGAAAGCCCAACTGGCCTATTTCCACGGTGTAGAAGCTTCTGCCACGGCCAGTTCCCAGTTATTGGGGGATGTCTCTGAAGAGAGTTAAGACGTGTGTGTGCATGCGCAGCCAGTGGGGGCAGGCAGAACCAACCCAGCACAGCGTATGTGCACGCGAATGCACACGCACGCACACACTGGGCAAGCTTTACTAGACAACGCTTCTCTCGCTTCACGCGGCTCTGCACTCTGGCCCTTGTTCTTGAAGCGGGCTCCATGCCCAGCATGGAGCCCAACACGGTGCTTGAACTCACAACCCTGAGAGAAGACCTGAGCCAAGATCAAGCGTTGGCCGCTTAACTGTGGTCCTTTTTAAAAGACTGTCCTGTGCCATCCTTTGCTATGTGACGCAATTCTATTCCATGTCATTCTTAAAAAGCTTGTTTTTACCCAAAAATCGATTTCGTGATTTGCTTCCTAATCTGAAGTATGAAAATCACTGACTTGGCCACGCTGGATGGGGTGTGTGTGTGTGTGTGAGAGAGAGAGAAAGAGAGAGTCCCACTAAATGTATGTCCCCTCCAAGGCCAGCGCGCAGCGGCTTCTGCAGCAAGAGCCTCTCCCCAGACGCAGGCCTGGCTCTGTCGGGACCAGACACGTATGCTCCCGCTGACCGCCCCGCCGAACCCAGCCCTCCCCTTCACCGTTAAGAGATCTCCAGACATCTGTCAGCTTTCATGGTCAAGGATTCAATCCGACATCACGTCTGAAGACCAAACAAAGACGGGGTCAAACAACTTTACACTTGCATTTGAATCCTTGCTACATTATTGGTAGGAATTTGGAAATGGATTTGCGAGGTGGGTCAGAGGTCAAACCTTGGGACACTGAAACTCATGCTTCAACAACTGTGTCACGTAAGAGATTGAACACCCCGAATGTTACCATTATTTGTGGCATCTGATGTGTGTCCACTCCTCCTTCTGTGCCCTCCTTTGATAACCGTGAAGCTCAGTGGCTGAATAAACTCTCCAGGTGCGAATCACACACTTTCAGAGGTCACGTGCTGGCGTCTCAGTACAAAGCTGCATTGACTGGGTGAGCTAAGGCGTCTGGAACAGCGCGACGTCTCTTATTAGGGAATCATTGTGCTGCACACAGCAGTGGTCCCTCTAGGGCCTTTCTCTGCGTGGAGCCCCATCACACGGGACATACCAGCGAAGAAGAAACAGCACCGTTCAGCTAGCACCCCTCAGCTGCAAGCGTCACTCCACCTCCAGCAAATGCAACTTAAGCAAGATGACAAGAACCACCAAGAGAATAGTTGGGAGGCTGGAGACCAGAAATTCCAGAGGCCAGCGAGTCTTAGCCGGGCACGTTCTGTTCAAGGCACCCCACTGGGGAAAAATGAGCTCCGCCCGCTTCTTAGTCTCCGGATCCTTCTGTTCAAGGTCCACGATCCAGCTTGGGTTGCATCCCACCCTTTTGTGAGGAGAGGACCAGGTACCCAGTTCCACTTTGACCACCTGTGTCCAGGGGAGGAGGTGAGGAAGAACCAAAGGAAGGGGGGCTCTGGCGGAAGAGGGGCTTACTGAAGGGTCAAAGGAGAAAGTGGATGTTCGCGGCACGTGCAGATGCCGTCTGTCCTGACGTGTGGACAGAGAGGAGACGTTTGTCGGTCAGTGGATGGCCCCTGGCACTGCCTCAGTGCTTTCCTTCGGGGAAACGGAAAGGATGCCCCTTAGCGGGGAGCACTGTGCTCCGTTGGCATGACTTGCCGCGTCCTTCTCCGGATGTGATGTGTGACAGTGACGGTGAGCAGAGTCTCAACAGGAGATTGGGCTACCACGATTTATGCTATTGTTCGTTCACAAGACCAGTACGCATGTTATAAACGTGTATATGTGTGTGTGCGTGGATGTTTATGTATACAGAACCTGACTTCTTTATTCGGTCCTTCAAGAAATACTTACTGAGTGCCACTGTGTCGGAGGCACGTGGACGCATCCCAGTGCCTAGAGCAGACATGATGCCTGCCGTCACGGAGCATGTAGTCCAGTCAGACCGACGGGGGTTGTGTCCGCAAAGGAGA